AATCTCGATCGAGTGCGCCCGGCGGTTCCCCGAGAGAGCTTATATACAACCGTTCTTTTGCTGCTTCTAGAATATTCGACGTGTTTGTCTCAAAAAGATCGCGCCGGTTGTTGTTTGCGATGATTCGGAAAATTAGCACTTGTTATTCGCATTTGTTATTAATTTCGGCTCTCTCGGGTGACCGCTGCGTGGCCCGCTTTGAACGGCACGAGCAATGCCACGGGCCTGGCGCGATTTGCTGAGCGCCGCTGTCTACGCGTGATCTGATTCGCGGCGAGCCGTGCGCCGCGCGAAATGGCCGCGAACGCGCCAATTTTCGAGCGCTCCCTTTGGAGACGCTCAATCTCAAACAATAGAGAAGAAGCAGGAGTCTAAAAATATGATTGCAAACCAGTTAGAAAAATTTACGGCTGCATTAGAAACAAAAAACGAATTAGCTAAAAAAAAACGACATATTAGAAAGAAGAAATGAATTATTGTACATGTTATTACAATCTAAGAATAATACTTCGTCTAAATAAAAATCAATAGAACAATTAAAACTTTTGTACTTTTATTTATTAATTAATTGGTAGATTGATACAAAAAAAATTTATTACATCAAGTTCTTTACAAACTGAACCAAAAAAAATGAAACAAGACAAAACCAGAAAAAAAAACTGAAAAAAAAACAAAATGAAACTGAATAAAACGATTTCAGATTTTTTAAATATTGTGCATTACAATACTTGAAACCTGTTCGCGATTTCTTGTCTTTTCATTCGCTTATTGTCATCTTGAAATTCATCATTATTATCACTTTCATCGCTGCCATGATTCTCATGCTCAATATTTTCGTTAATATTTAAATTTTCTCTCATTTCGATTTCATTATATAATATAAGAAAATTGTGAAGAGTGCATGCAGCTGCAATAATATGATTTGCCATTTCAGTACTTTGCACATCAAGATACTTCAGTCTTCGCCACTTCCCTTTCAGCAATCCTTATGCACGCTCTATTATCGATCGTATCGAGAAAAGTCTAGTATTAAACGTAGACTGATCTGGGGTTAAATTTCCATTGTCTCGAAATGGAGTCATTACATTTTGAAGCAATGGATATGCAGAATCACCTTTAATATATTGTTGAGGAGGTAAAAGTGGATTTGCTTGATCTGTCAGTCCGGCGTAAATAACGCTACTCCGAAAAACTGTTGCATCATAAGCACGTCCAGGCCGACCGATGAGGCAGTCGATGAACTTCCCCGTATGATCACAAACACCTGTAAAAAAATATAATCATTGCAAAAATTGCCTATAAAAAAATATTTAAATTCTATCTTGCAAAATAATAGAGTGAAATTCTTTGCGATTATAATAATCATTTGCATTCCTGGGCGGCTGTTTAATTGGAATATGACAGCCGTCAACGGCTCCTACCTGGAAATCCTCTTGATCGAATTCGAAAAACCTGAAATTGACAATTGAATTTTAAAAATATTGAAGTATTTATCAGTTGATGGATACGAAATGATATTATTAGATCAAACGAAATTTAAAAAAAATGAAAGCCTGAAACAATTAAAATTTGTAAGAAGTATTCAAAATACTATGTAAACTGGAAAACACAAAATAACATACCCTTTCACTTTCTTCACATTCCGCATTATTTGGCCATCTTATAAAATGTGGCATCATTCTTTTTAGTGCCCAAACCACCTCTTTAAAAGTTTTTCAAACTATATCTTTGGAAAGGCCAAATCTATCTGCAACAGATCGAAAACTTTCTGGCGTGGCTATAATCCATAATGTTAAAAATAGTTTCTTCGATAATGGTATATCATTCTCTCTCTGTCTAATTAAAGGTCTCACTATATTTTCCAATTCCTGAAAATAATAAAATTAATTATAAAGAATATTGGATAGTATATACAGGGTGGTCCTCGTAACGGTCGCTACGATTTTTAAGGCACTTACAATAATCTGACATAAAAAAGTCATAAACAGAAATTTATCAGTTTCTAACCGGCAACAAATTGCAAGAATAAAAATTGACCAAACATTTTTTTTCCATAAAAAAGCAAGGTCACCTTCAATTTTTTAAACGGAACTGCCTACTTTTTATTGCATATTCTTGTAGCTTATCTCGAGAGCTTTTCAAAACACTATAATAAAGTATTTTTTCATTAAGTACTTTTTGAGTTATTTTATATTTTAATCTGACATATTTTGATATAAAAAATAAAATATCTCGTAAAATATTTACAATTTGTTGCCGGTTAGAAACTGATAAATTTCTGTTTATGACTTTTTTATGTCAGATTATTGTAAGTGCCTTAAAAATTGTGGCGACCGTTACGAGGACCACCCTGTATATGGTTAATATACATAATAGATATAAATCAATATTTACAATGTATGTTCCTCAATGCATTCTAAAATGCGAATGAAATTGGTTATCGTTATAACGTGGTATTACTTCTTCAAAATAATTTAAATTTACAATTTCATCATTCTGCCTTTCAGGATAAAAAATTTCACGAAATATTTCACCTGCATTTTCCAGGGCATTCAGAACCTCAGGGTCGTTTTCTTGTTCTAAAAAATGGATAAGATCATCAAATTTTATATTTTTTTAGAGATTGCCACAATTATTGTTAAAAAATTATCTATTTTTCTTTACCTCGCAGTTCATGTAAAATGAGTCCTAGAACTTCTTCCTCTTCATTATCTTCATCTGATGAATCTTCATCGAACAATATTTCATTTATAAGCCAATTTTCAATATTTTCCATTATCCAAATTGTTTAAAATAATTAGCAAACGCGACTGTTAGCAATTACATACAATTTGGAGGCTATGTACAATAACGCTAATTGAGTATAGCGCGACATTTGTAGCGTTATACTTAGTTTTACTAACTTTACCGCTACAATTGTAGCGAAAAAGCTGTAGCGCTACGGTAGCGGTGTCTTACCAAAACGCACTCAATATTTTTACTATTCCAATGATGTATGTTCATTTTTTTAAGTTAACTATTTATGTTGTAACCGTAATTTCCTTTTTAATTATTTAAACAATAATTATTTATTCGGCGGGCGGTTTTCGGTGCCTACGGCACACCTTCGGCGCGTATCTCGAATATCGGTCCCTGTATCCCGTAAAATTCGATATATCACCAAAATAACCGAGTTGGGCGCCAGGTACGGCGGCCGTCCTGCGATCCTTGCGATCCTTGTTGTCATCACGGCCGTGTTGGTGGGTTCATCGCCCCGGAGTTCCCAAGATTTTGGGAACTTAAAGGTGTGGGCTTACGGCTGCGCCCGATCGGCTCTCTTTCCTATCTGGTGGGATAGGTTCCGGATTGAGAGTCCGCTCGCCGCTCCGTCCTTGGGACTCCCTCGCTTCGTCCGCTCGATCTCGTGCCAACAACCAACTCGCGGGCTCATCTCGAGCTTACATTTGCGATAACTATTACTAACCAAAAGTCAGATCCCGTCGATCTGACGATTGGGCCGCTCTCTCCCTAAATAGAGAAGACGCAGGAAAAACGCCGAAAAACCGCCCGAAAAACCGCCCCCGATCGGGTCATTCGATCCTTGTGATGGACGTCCCAAAAACGTCACGTCACAATGTATAGTAATATTGTTCGAAGTAAAATAAACATGCATTTTATCATAAATAATAATTTGTTTATTTCGTCTGCTCATTACTTTTTAAAATGAATTTTCTTCGTCAACCTGTCAAACACTACCCATAAATATATGAAATATGAAAGAAGAATGTTCCTATTATTGATAAAGTATCCCATAATTACAATTCGTTATTGTTTTTATTTATTATTAACGTGATTTGCTTATATTATTATAGTCTTTATGATATAAACATCATCTTTACATCAAATTATATTTATAATAGAGATTATATGAATATTAAAAAAAAAAACAAATCGTTTTAATATTGTATTTATTGTGATTTTATCAATTTTTCATCGAATTTATTTTACATTAGTTCAATTCATTCACAAACATTTTATAATTTAACTTGACATGCTAGCAGAAAGCTACATTCCGTCAACTTATTTGGCGCATGCGCTCTAACCTATGTACAAGTTTTGTACATAAAAGTTGGGTACATCTCACAGCAGGAGTTCGCAGTCTAGTATATTATATAGAAGTCTGTGCAGCAAACCAATATGTAACTGTTATATAACCTAGGGAGCACATGAAAAGAACAATGTTATATTTCACGGTTATATAGACGAGATGTAAGTGTTATATAACCTTGAAAGCATTTTAGGAGAACAAAGTTATATTTCTTCGTTATGTATATAACTCATGATAGTTCTGTAAAAATGTAATATATCACACACATAACTCGAGATATATAACATAAATATAACAACTGTAATCTTTTTGCAATATAACGAATGTTACATATAGAATATATTATTACAGATATGCAATTATTGTAATATATTTGCGATGTAACTTTAGTAACACGCGATTAATTTTTTTCGCGCATGCGCGGCAAATGCTAAACTAAAATAGCTAAATGCTACTATAATTATATCAGCATCATTGTCTCCATTGTCTTCCAGTCTGGATTGTGTGGATCTCTTGTGTGCATTTGTCAGATTGTTAAAAGATGCAGAGAAAAGCGCTTATAGTTAGAAATTTTGGCAGGTAAGTTAAATTTATTCAGATTCTTTTAAATCGATATCGTTTAAACTTTTATATCTCATTTTAGGTTATTGCGTATTTAGTTGTTGCATATGCCTCACAGAAGAACAAACTTATCCTGTTAAAAGATGTGAAAATACTCTCAATTGGCAGTTTGACTTCAAAATTTTGTAGTGAAAAGTATTAAATTTGCTTAACTCTGTTTCGTAAAAGCAATGCGACAGTTAAATTCGACCGAAAACAAAATATGTAAGTTCAAACAATATTGCTAAGGAATATTATTCGTTGACAAAGTTCGATCAACTGTGCATGTTATATCTTATTTAACGATATGATGCTTTTATTAGTTGCTGAACAGCAGTTAACATAAATAAGCCTATACATTTAATACACAGATCATACTCAAGTAAAACGTGCATCAATATATAACCAAACAGCTGAACTTTTCTTGTAAAAGCAATGCAATAGCTAAATTCGATGACCAGTAACAGAATAAGTAAATTAAAATATTTAATATATTGATAAGAAAAGTTAGTTTTTGCTAACTGGTTCAGTTTAGGTAAAACACCCTGTCAGCAAGAAATTACTTTCTTTATTGATATATCATTTGTCACATTTTGTTAACAGTTATCGAATTTAGATTGCATAGCTTTTATGAGACAGAATTCAGCTTTTTAGAGTTGTGTTGATACAAACATTATTTGAAAATGATCTCCTTCTTATATGAAATTAAGGATTTACATTAACAGTTGTTCCAATTTTCTAAAATTGTCAATGTTTTCATTTATCTATAACTTTTTGAATATTTTGCATTTGCATATTTGGATATTATATAGTGGTAAAAAGTATTATTCGCTGACAAAGTTCGATCAACTGTGCATGTCACATTTTATTTAACGATATGATGCTTTTATTAGTTGCTGAACAGCAGTTAACATAAATAAGCCTATACATTTAATACATAGATCATATTCAAGTAAACCGTGCATCAATATATAACCAAACAGCTGAACTTTCCTTGTAAAAGCAATGCGATAGCTAAATTCGATGACCAGTAACAGAATAAGCAGTAAATTAAAATAATATATTGATAAGAAAAGTTAGTTTTTGCTAACTGGTTCAGTTTAGGTAAAACACCCTGTCAGCAAGAAATTACTTTCTTTATTTATATATCATTTATCACATTTTGTTAACAGTTATCGAATTTAGATTGTATAGCTTTTATGAGACAGAATTCAGTTTTTTAGAGTTGTGTTGATACAAATATTATTTGAAAATGATTCCTTTCTTATATGAAATTAAGGATTTACATTAACAGCTGTTCCAATTTTCTAAAATTGTCGACGTTTTCATTTATCTATAACTTTTTGAATATTTTGCATTTGCATATTTGGATATTATATAGTGGTAAAAAGTATGTGTGTCATCTTGCCTGGTATATTAATTTAAAAAACTTGTCAATTAATTAATATTTACATTACATTTTTTTCATATTTTTCAAGCTTATTTTTAATGTTCTATCCACACAACACACACACAATATAGTATTTTACACTATGTTATTAGAATACTTCCCAAATCATTTTGACATATGTTTGATGAACAAATATTGTAATGTATTTTAAAAACTTGTGATTTCACGAACATAACATATTTATGCATGTTGTCATTTATATAATGGGCACAAATAATATTATTTTGTTTATAATATATTTCAGAGTGTTCTTCCGTATAATATCGATAAGTACGTCATATATATTATTCTGCTTATTGTTTCAGAAATAGTTTGATTTATAAATAATTATGTCACGTAAAGATTTCTCTGATTTATCCCAGCGCCAAAAACGAAGAATTGTATTACGCGAATGTAATGTATTAAACGTTTTTGGCCCCCAAAGTATTAAAAAAACGTGCACAGAGAAAATAGATAGTGCAATAACTATTAATAACTGTAATTCAGAAAATGACAATGCAAGCATTAATAATTGTAATTCGGATATAAGTTCTAATTTTAATGAAAGTGAATCAGATGCTACTGGCACTAATATCCACAGTTTATCATCAGAAGACATTTTAAATATTGAAAATTCTTTGCATGATGATTTAAGATCTTGGGTAACGAAACACAATATTAGTCAGAATGCCGTAAATGATATATTACGAATTTTATTAAAAAATAATTTAAGTGTTCCAGTCGATTGTAGAACATTAATGAAAACACCACGCAATACTTTATCACAAATAATAAAAATGAATGACGGAAAATATATTCACTTTGGATTTGGAGAAGGTTTGAAGCATTCGATTAAAATACATTATCAAACATCATTGTATCCAGCAGAGTTGAAAATAAATATTAATATCGATGGTTTACCTATTTCAAAAAGTTCAGATAGTCAATTTTGGCCGATCTTCGGTGCTATAGTTGCAAATTTTTACACCAAACCATTCGTTATAGGCATTTATCATGGTAATACGAAACCAAAAGATGTCGATGTTTTTTTTAAAACCGTTTGTAGAAGAAGCAAAACCCATTCTTGATACCGGTTTGAATATTAATGAAATAATTATTCGTATTAAATTAAATGCTATAATATGTGATGCTCCAGCAAAATCATTCATTTGTGGTATTAAAGGTCACACAGGTTATTTCAGCTGCACTAAGTGTATACAAGAAGGTGAATTTATTCACAATAAAGTCGTATTTTTAGAACAAAATTCAACTTTGAGGACGGATCATTCATTTCGAAGTAGACAGCATGAAGAACATCACGCTGAAAAATATTTAACTAAACCAACTATTATAGAAACTTTAGACATTGGAATGGTTTCGGATGTGCCATTAGATTGTATGCACCTTATTTTTCTTGGTGTTAATAAAACAATGCTTCGATTTTGGATTAAAGGTGCGATAAATATACGATGGACTGCTGCTTTATTAGATAAAGCCCAACAACTTAATAGCAAATTGAAAATGTTTATACCCATAGAATTTGCTCGTCGTCCAAGGGATTTGCTAGATCTAGATCGTTGGAAAGCGACCGAACATAAGCTTTTTGCACTGTATACAGGAATAATTATAACGAAAAACGTGCTACCTAAAAAACTATACATACATTTTATCTGTCTGTGCGTTGCTGTAAGAATTGTATCAGATAAACAATATAAACATTTGCTTGATTACGCACAATCTCTTTTGGAATACTTTGTTCGAAAATTCCGCGAGTATTACGGAGATCAATACTTATCACATAATGTGCATAATTTATTACATATATGTGATGATGTTAAACGGTTTGGAACAATTGATTCTTATTCTGCTTTTAAATTTAAAAATTATTTCCATACAATAAAAAAATCATTAAAAGTTGGTGGCAAACCTCTAGAATAAATAGCTAACAGAATTATAGAAAAGAGAAATATTGAGAAAAGCTTTTAAAATCCTTCAAAAAATTATCCGATAATTCATTATAATAAAGGACCGTGACTTCCTTCTCTTTAGTCACGTATCTTACTTTTATTTTATTAATAATCTTTTATTACTTTACTCTTTCTTAATTATTTTTCTTTGATCTCATTTCTAATTTTAATGCATTGCTTTACTCAGCTCTTTCTTAATCTTTTCTGTTTTACTTTATTGTTTTATCTTTTAATATATTGAGAAATTGATCGGGTTAAGACATGTTGTATTCTTTCAAATACTACAATTGCTACAGTGAATGATATTTATTTAAAGAATAATATTATACACTTTAAAGTAAAACAACATCTCTCTATTAAACCATTCTTTACTTTTCCGTGTGATTCAACGCTGATAGGAATTTATAAGTTATCTGGTAGTGAGACAGATTTATCATATGCAACTGTTACAGCTGACCAAATTTCACGTAAATGTTTAAAAGCAGATGATGTTATGTCTTCTGATGATAATTCAAGTATAGTTATTAGCTTATTGCATTAAGTCCAAAAAAATAGTAAATAGAACGTTCTATATTCGTCTATGTTCGTTGATTACATTAATATAATAGATTTGTTATTATACACTGCGCGTCAACGATTCGTTCCCTGAGGTAAGGAGGATACATATAAGTACATCAATGGGTCATGGGTATACTTCTATGTACCCCCCTTACCTCAGGGAACGAATCTTTGACGCGCAATGTACTATGCTCTTTGTGTAGTTTATTATACATATCATTATATATATATATGCGACTGTCTTGAAGATATACACACTGCGTCGAAATGAGTTTTCCGTATGCAGTTGTACAATTTCCAAAAGAAGGGACGTACTCCGAAATTCCGACTTCGTGGCTTACAAAAGATTGTACTCAATGTAGATGGCCAACAACTAAAAATGCTTCTTTCTTTCTTAAAAAAAACAGTCCACCAGAAGCAGACTGGTTACTTTTCGATGTAAAAGTAGAATGCTACTGTGGTAAGCATGCGTAAAAGTGACAATTATTCCAAATATGAATTATGCAATATTAATATAGTATTTTATATTTACAGACACTTTTGAAAAGGCACGGAAAAAAGCAGAAGATGCTAATTACGCAACTTCTTGTGATGAAACCAGAGGACGTGGGAAAAGAGTCGTACACGAAAAACAGTTCGATGATACATATGAGATTTGCGATGACAGTGCGGATGACGATTGCGGTAACTGAATTTTATTACATTATATTTCTATTTCTTGCACTAGAAACCAAAGTTTTCCTTTCAAAAATTGTATTTTTTATTTATTCTAATGTTATATCAACAATTTAGTATGAAACCAACTATTTACGCTTTACTAACTTTTATTACATTTTACAGATTCACCTCCGCAGTTATGTAGGACTGCACACAAGAAGTTAAAAATAGATAAAGATCGAGATTCATCCGGAAAAAAATCTTTGTGTAATAAACAATTCTCGCATGAAAAGCAGTCCTCGTGTGAAAAAGTCTCACAAATTGCCGCCGAAAAAAGCTTCTCTACGCCAAATCGTTCATTGTACGATACTACATCACAAACACGAAAAGTTGATTCATTACAAGCGGATGAGCTTAATAATGATATTAATGAACCATTGGCATATGAACTCAAGGAAATTAATGTACAAAGTAAGAGTTCAAAATTATCTTATTTTCAATGTTATCTTTGATAAATTAGTATGTAACATAAAATGTCTATAATTGATACGATAACTTTTTTTTAGATCTAGATTTTATTCCAATTTCCCAATTAGCTACAATTGGCAACATTGATGGTAAAAACCTTATTTTACATTTACTATTATTGTGTCATTATATACGTTATAAATACACGATGCCTTAATTTACTGTATCCTGCTATATCCTGATCATGAAGCAATATAGAAAGAGAAAATTTATACGTTGTTTCAATTTATTCTGTTTCAGAAAAGCTGATTCCAATTTGTGTGGAAATATTAAAGTATGTAAAAAGCATTGACAAAAGGCTGAAAACTTTGGGAAGAGACATTATTAATACGGAAGAGCTTAATATGAATATATTTGATGACATACTTCCGATCAATTCTATACAGAACCTTAAAAAGTTTGAGGAAAATGTTGAAACAAAAACGAATTTTGTAAGTTAATTTTTGTATATCAATAATATTTATCATAAGAGTAGTAATACGTTGAATTACATTTCATTTATTATTTATCTAATTACGTAGAAATGAATGTATAGTGTCGTAAATTGCTTTCAAGGTCGAATTTATGAACAAAATTGGAGGAAAAGGCGGCAAAAATTTGGTGCAACGGTGTATGAGCCGTTTATTTACAAATGAATTCGGCATATCTTGTTCTTGGTGTGGTCGCGGAAATAATTATCGCATGTGCAATTTGAAATGCATCCGCATCCTAAAAGATGAGCTATTTTAACATGTTGCATATTTTTATTCTTTGCCTAAATTGGTAAGGATTTTAGTAGATAGTGGGCACTATGGGGCGTCAAAACAAACCCCCACTCCTCAGCCACTGGCGCCGACCCCCTGCTGTGACTGTCTGGGGCCCTCCCCCCTAAAGGTGTCTGTGGAAAAAAAGAGTGGAGGGGACTCGTGGACGTCTACGAGACAATTTTCCCTTTAAATTTTTCCTTTTAAATTTTCTAAATTTTAAAAAAATTTTTTACCCTTTAAATTTTTCCTTTAAAATTTTTTTATTTGTTTATTTTTTCCGGTCGCGTGAACATGCTTGGGCTCGAACCTGGGTCCTCCACCTCTCCAAACAGGGTCCTAGTATGCTGGGCTAGCTGAAAACTTATTAGAATAGAAGTTAAACGTAGTATTCGTGGAGAGTAGTCCGCCGATAAGATAGGGGTCCTGACGGTCCGATTGGTTCTCCCCATAGTGCCCAGTCCTCCGATTGGTTCCGTCGGTTCCGTCGATTTAAAGTGGCATGGAAAAACGAGC